AATATATTATAATAATAGAATTAATTATAAAAATTTAAATTTTAAATATAAATTTAATTTATAATTAAAAATATAAATTTTTATAATTAATTTTTTATCACAAAATATTTATTTTTTAGTGATATTTGACTTATACCGATATTTAACTAACCGAATTTTTTTTTCCTAACCAAAACTAATATAATTAAAAAGAAAACCTTCTATTTTTTCGATATTAGTTGTTGAAATTTTTAATTTTATAATTTTAGTTTCAGTATTCACCGATTACTTAGTATTATGTTTTTGCAGAGACGGAGGGGAAATTAAAGAAGATGTTGGACAAAAAACTATGAGCAGATATGAGTGAATTATATGGTTTCGTTGTTCACCGATTAAACTATTTTTTTAATTTACTTATTATTTTCTGGGCCAAAAAATTAATCTACCTATCATTTACCTATAATTTAGAATGGTGAATTATATTTGTGGCTTTTTTCTCTAATTTTTCATCCAATTCTTCTAGCTGTATATTTCTCGGCTCAATTTTTTTTCCCCTGCCTTGGATTCCTCTTAACTTTCTCCTGTGATTTTTCTTCTCAATTTGCCTTTACATTACACGATATCTTTTTTGGTATTATATTTTTGGTACTTGACGATTTCCTCTTACACGTGATTTCCGTGTGACTTGTTATGGCCATTTTATTTTCACAACGGAAATGCAGCCTCCTGATTTCTTTCAACTTTTTGTAAAAGAAAGATAATGACTCAAAGAAAATTGAAAAAAAGCAGTGGGGACAGGTATAGATATAAAGTTGGAGTGAGAAAAACATAGATCCATTATTGCAGGGAATAACTTTTTGCAAATTGCAAAGCATGCCGCAAGAAAAACGAAAGAAATGGGATCTAAGAGAACCGGCACCGTTATGGCTACATATAAAAATTTTGACAAAACTTTATTTTTAATTCCTTCCCTTCGTAAGTTAGATGATTTTAATTTTTTATTTTATAATATAATATTTTTAATTTTTTATTTATAAAAAAAAAAAAAAAAATCTTTGTTTTTAACTTTTGTCACATTATCTGTAACATGTCTGTCACACGTCCGTCACTTAGTTCGTTATATTTTTGTTAATTTTATTTCGTTTATATAATAAATAAAAAAATAAAAAAACTTCTCCAAGAAACCTGTTGCATTTTCTTTTAGGAATTTTAACTTTTTTTTGAGAATTTTAACATTTTTGTTACTTTTATTTTTAAAGCCAGTTGCA